GCGAACCAGCGTTCGGCCCGTTTCTGCCACTGTGCACGCTCGGCCCGCCGAGCAACGCCAGCGCGCAATCCAAGCTCCATATCGAGGGCGCGAAGGACGGCAGCGGCACGACGAAGAGCGGGACCATGCGCCGCTCGAATAAATGTGTCCCCACTCTCCTAATAGATTTCCTGGATGGCTTGCTCACGCTGTGGTCTGAAAGCAGTAGCAGAGGATAAATATATTGTGTGCTCGATACAACAGAGGGCGGTTCGGGAAAAAATTATACAGAGGATGGGCGAAAATCGAGGGCCGTCGTAGGATGCTCGAGATATCGCCAGGTGGAGACAGCGGTTCAGATCCAAGGCGCAAAGACGGGTTGTTGGTGTTGACGGCGGTATTTGAACATTAGGTTGCAGCGGATCATGTGGCTGTGCAGTCTCAGCCACCCGACTCGCCATCAGTCGGCTGTGATCGAGCGCGGGACGTCCACCGGGGCCCCTCCCAGCCAGTAATCCGGGGAAATTGTCTGTGAGGGAGGGACTGGGACGGCATTCTCGCTCTGGGCTGCGATCGCTGTGGTCTGTAGGGGATCAGAAGAAACAGTGATATATGTCGAGTACGCACTGTTGTGTCCCAGCGCGGAATTCCGAGTGGTCTGTGCAGGTCGAACACAAGGCAGTAAATACGCACCGGATAGAATCAATGTGTCCCCACTCTCCTAATAGATTTCCTGGATGGCTTGCTCACGCTGTGGTCTGAAAGCAGTAGCAAAGGATAAATATATTGTGTGCTCGATACAACAGAGGGCGGTTCGGGAAAAAATTATACAGAGGGTGGGCGAAAATCGAGGGTCGTCGTAGGATGCTCGAGATTTCTTCCGGTGGAGATGGCGGTTCAGATCCAAGGCGCAAAGACGGGTTGTTGGTGTTGACGGCGGTATTTGAACATTAGGTTGCAGCGGATCATGTGGCTGTGCAGTCTCAGCCACCCGACTCGCCATCAGTCGGCTGTGATCGAGGGCGGGACGTCCACCGGGGGCCCCTCCCAGCCAGTAATCCGGGGAAATTGTCTGTGAGGGAGGGACTGGGACGGCATTCTCGCCCTTTGCTGCGATTGCCGTGGTCTATAGAGGATCAGAATATATGCGCAGTGCGCACCGTTATCTCCTGGGGTCTGTGCAGGTCGCACACAAGGCAGTAAATACGCACCGGATAGAATCAATGTGTCCCCACTCTCCGAATAGATTTCCGGAATGGCTTGCTCATGCTGTGGTTTGAAAGCAGTAGTAGAAGATAAATGTATTGTGTGCTCGATACAACAGAGGGCTATTCGGGAAAATATTATACAGAGGATGGGCAAAAATCGAGGGTCGTCGTAGGATGCTCGAGATTTCTTCCGGTGGAGATGGCGGTTCAGATCCAAGGCGCAAAGACGGGTTGTTGGTGTTGACGGCGGTATTTGAACATTAGGTTGCAGCGGATCATGTGGCTGTGCAGGCCCCATCAACGACACAGGCACTCACAGCAAGGGGCGGCGGGTCTTGCAGCTCGTGAGTGTCGGTATAGTCGCGTAATAATGTCGGCAGCATGTATGAGGACTCGCAGATCGACTCGGCTCTGCGACTGTTCATTGAGTCGTGCCGACTCATAACGAGTCGTTGCGACTCGCATCTTTTTTCAATGAAAAAAGATCTTCTGTTTTCAATGTCTATTCTTCGCGGGAATAGACGTCTATTCCCACTGAGAATTGATCTGAAAAAAGATGATCTTTTTTCAGATCAATTCTCAGTGGGAATAGACGTCTGTTCTTCGTGAGAATCGGCATTGAAAAAAGAAGATCTTTTTTCACTGAAAAAAGAAGATCTATTCTCAGTGAAAATCGATAAAAAAAAAGATCTTCTATTTACAGTCCTGTTTTTAGGAGGAATAGACGTCTATTCGTGGTAAAGATCTAGCCGTAAATCGACGTCTATTCTCAATGTATAATTTTTGTCTGAAAACAGAACAGTGAAAATCGAACTTCTAGATTGTCACGCATTTTCCACGGAAAAAAAATAAGTCCCCCCGCAGTGTATAGTGTGTCATGCCATGCGCGCCTTCATTTCCAATCCACATCATTAAGATTCCGCAAGAAATTTGCACGTGATCGGCAAAAGGCAGGGTCCCCCTCACAGTGCAGGTAAGGTACACGGCCAGACGCTCGGATGGCTCTGATTCGTTCCGATCGAAGTGAACGCGGGTGTGATCCGAACAATGAATATCGTTCAAAATAAGATGGCTTTAATTCACAAATGGGTGACTTCCCGTAAGGGTTTCCGATTATAATAAAGGCTTTTTACCCTTGATGCCGAGTTGCCGAGGCGTTGATCAGGACCCCATCGAGCTCAGATCTCGCTTAAGGCCTCGAATAGACCACGAATAAACCAGGATCTATTCGAGGGGTAGAGACCCCTCGAATAGACCAAGAAAGCCTCGAATAAACCAAATGAGGAAGGTGTTTGATCACGCGTTCCCGGCTGAACATGTCTGTGTCAATACCCATAGTGGTGATGAATGCGCGATCGCTCCCACTGGCGTACATGGCTTTCCAGGGTGTATTGACATATGGATTGGGAGGGATTTGGGGCCAACACATGTACAGACGGTTTGGTTTCTGCTGCTTAGCCTCCGCGTACCCAAAGCCGATCAACCCCAATGCAACCATCATCTGCTTGTTATTGTCCCGAACCATCTCCTCTTCCATCGTGCCCACAATTTGTTGCCAATATTGCGCGTCGGGATCCATCGTGGGGGGGAAGGTGTGGTGTGATGCCATCGAGTACCGGGCCGTGATGCGCGTGCGTCACTGATGCGGAAACTCGGAAATCCTTACGGGTAGAGCGCTCAATAAAAAAAACATAAAACAAATGTAGCCGACATCATTTGGCACTCCTCAGAAATCATTAATAGAATCGGAAACCTTACGGGAAGTCACCCAATTTGAGATTGAATGACATGTACATTTGAAAATGGGTGTGGTTCACTTGTGCCCCCTTTTTCAATCCTGTTCATTCTCACACTGCGGGGGGACTTAATTTTTTTCTGTGGAAAATGCGTGACAATCTAGAAGTCCGATTTTCACCGTTCTGTTTTCAGACAAAAAATATATATAGAAAATAGACGTCGATTTACAGCTCGATTTCCACCATGAATAGACATCTATTCCTCCCGAAAACAGAACAGTGAATAGATCATCTTTTTTTTGATCGATTCCCATTGGGAATAGATGTCGATTTTCACTGAAAATAGAGACAAAGAAAAGATGATCTTTTTTCACTGAAAACAGATTAAAACCACTGGAAGAATCTGGGGATTCTGGCCCCAATTCACATCACAAGTCCTGCAGCGATTCCAACATGTTGTGAGTAGCATCCAGTTGCCTTTTGCAAGGCCAGGGATGCAAATTGGGGCCAGAATCCCCAGATTCTTCCAGTGGTTTTAATCTGTTTTCAGTGAAAAAAGATCATCTTTTCTTTGTCTCTATTTTCAGTGAAAATCGACATCTATTCCCAATGGGAATCAATAAAAAAAAAGATGATCTATTCACTGTTCTGTTTTCGGGAGGAATAGATGTCTATTCATGGTGGAAATCGAGCTGTAAATCGACGTCTATTTTCTATATATATTTTTGTCTGAAAACAGAACGGTGAAAATCGGACTTCTAGATTGTCACGCATTTTCCACAGAAAAAAATTAAGTCCCCCCGCAGTGTCACTACCTATCTCTCGTTCAAACCCAAAGTACCTGCATGGCTGACTGTGCATGAGACTGTAAGTACCAGCAATCAATCACACTGATGTCGCATACACAAGTGATGTCAATGATTCTACTGTACCCTTTCGACCGTAAGTTCGCCGGCGGTGACCGGTGACTATCATAATTCGAAGTTTGATTGATTCGATGTGGCCGGTGACCGGTGACACCCATGTTAGGTAACAAAAGTTCGACTGATTTGAAGCAAAATTTTGCCTGTTGCAGGCCCAATCTGGCTGAATCTCAGAGTTCTGGGGCTCATTCATGCCCAAAATGAGAAAAGAGACCTCAAAATGGCTGCAAATGCGTAATTTGAGCAAAAGCCAAAAAATGTCACCAGTTCGGCCCTTAGTTCGAGCCCCCCGGTGACCGGTGACAGAGGAAAAATAGGTTTGGTTCGGAGGGCCTGGTGACCGGTGACGCGAACCTACGGTCGAAAGAGTACAGTAGTCCCTATTTGGGACTATTGTCAAAATGCAGCTTGCCAACTGGTCACTTTGTGCAAAGTCTGTGGAGATGGGATGGAGCGGAACGCGACCCTGAGTCACCAGAACCGGACACAACAGGAGAGTAGTGACATCCATGAGGACACCTTATCGCAAAGACAGAGATTGGCCAAAACAACTGCAGACCTTCTGAGTTTTGCAACAAGTGCCAATCCTGCAGTCAACCAACCTATCACCAACAAAGACATTGCCAACGACAAACTTTGACACATTCTGGAAGCGCTTGACGGCGGTGCCTCCCATCTGTATCCAATTTCCGACTGGCAAATGTACCCAGGTCCCACAGCCTGATGACATACTGGCCTCAACATCTGCAGTTGGTATAAGCTGGAATTTCATGGAAGCGGATGGAGACATGGACTTGCTGCCTTCTGTGACAATCAACAAGAAATGATGTCGAAAAGAGAAGTGAATTCAAAGACTGGAGAATACAACCAAGTAGCTACAGTATTTATACCCAAATCCAGTCTGAGTCATATCTACAACTAATGAGTCATAAGGCTATGTACACGGCCAGAGGTTCAGATGGACTGAGATCATTCAAATCAAATGATGCACCGCTATGATCCGAAATATGTATCGCATGCAAAATGATAGGAGTCTCACTCATAATTTGGAAATTGTGTCAGACACATCTTTAAAATTGACTCCAGCTCAAAGCAACATTTTTTTGGGTTCTACTCATATTCCGCTTTTGTGCCTGGCATCTCTCCTGGTTGACATGAGAGACGAGGCCTGTGCGTGACTGATGATCATCTATGACGCAATGGTATTGATTATTTCTAGCCCCTATTTGGGATTTCCGCAGGAACGTCGCGGGCAAAGTCGTTGCTTTCTGTAAAGTGTGTGAGGATGGCATGGAGCAAAATGCTACTCCCAGTCACTGTGGACGGCACGAAGAGTCCCAATCCCATGAGTTAGCTCTTCAACATCAGCAGGGCCAAATGCAGAACCAGACGCTTGAGCCTGGCGTAACGGATCCTGATGTGAACATGCCTATTACAGACCACGATATTGTCGTCGACGGTCTCCGACACCTATTGGCGTCTCTGGGAGGCAAATCCTTCCCTTATCCGATCTCAAACTGGCAATCCAATGTACAAGACAATGATAATGGCTCGACATCTACTCTGGGGATCGATTGGGGTCTTATTGAACTGAGCGGTGATACGGAATTCACTCCCTTGGCAGATGAGAGAGCCGTGGCATCCATCGCGAATACCATACTGGGACGCTTTGAGCTCGACCTCGATGCTCTCTCTGACGACGAGGAGCTCGAACGCTCTGATGGCGGGTCGGATGTCAAAGGAGGAGATGAACCCCAGGGACGCTACGGTATTGTGTTCCTGCCTGATATCCAATTACTTGCTTGCTGAAGCTATCAACTATTGTCCAGATCCCTCACAACCAGGTCAACCTCCTCCCAAACGTGCTCGCGGTGATCGCGAACATCAGTCTGGAGCAGAACGGCGTTCATGGTATCCTTGGGAAGATCGAATAGTGAGTTTATTTTTGATCGGACCATAAGACAGCCTCTCACAACTAGGTCAGACTTGCACTCTCGACATTCTTATGCACCTGCCTCGTTCCGTCTTTTCCCAACGTCAATTAGATCTTTTCTTGTGGCTGCTTCGAGTCAACAATGTTCCCGATGTGCCGTCCATCAAGCAGATGCAACGGCTCAATCTTGGGCTCCAGAAACTCTGCGGGATTGAGACCATAGCTTATAACGGCGCCCTCGGTCATAAATATTTTGTTAATAATCTAGCGTAGATTATTGCCCAGGTACTCGGATTATGCTACCAGTGTTCAAGAGCTCATCACCCTACCAGGAGATGGCAAATCCTAAAGTCCGGCCAAATCTTTCTTTCTATCCCGAAGATTCGGGAAAGAAGATCTCTGAAGCACGTCAAGCCGCTCGTTGGTTGCACGAAATGCCCGACGATCAGCTGACTCCAATGCACCGAATCAAAAATCACGATTATTACATCTACGAACCGGCAATGGCGACCTCGTCAATTGACGGATCAGTTCAACATGTTGTTCCCGTGCGCTGGTTCTCCCGCGAGGGATCCATTCATGCCAAATGCTGGAGAATGATTCCGGTTGTGACTGATCAGATCTCCGGCTGGCGCGTCATCAAGACCAGGACAGTTGAAGTCAGTGAAGCTCAATTTTTCAAAACATTTGTGGAATTTCAGAGCGACGCAGCATTATATAATGTTCCTCATCCGTCTCTAATTATTGGTACCATTTCACAACATCTCCGGCGCACGATCAACGCACTGACTTAATACAGACGTTGTCAATCAAAGTTCAGCCGCCGGACAAACCTCTCCATGGAAATACACAAATCCTGTATTGGGAAATCCGTGGCGAGCAAAAGCTGCGGGTGCCCGGGTCGTTTCCTTTCCAATGTGGTTGTATTGTGATGACACCTCGGGGAACATCTCGAAGAAGTGGAACAAACACAACAGCTTCCTTATGACACCAGCAGGCTTGAACCAACACGAGAGTCAAAAGGAGTACAATATTCACTTTCTTGCTACGTCTAACCTCGCCCCTCCACTTGAGATGATGGATGGGATTGTTCAACAAATTGAGTAAGTCCGCATTTAAATCGGGGTCTCAATTCTGATGAGTAATTTATGCAGAACAGGACAAGAAAATGGTATCTGGTGCTGGGATATCATTTATAATGAACCGGTACTCGCAATATCTGAAGTTCTCGCACTTCTAGGTGATAATCCCATGCAGAGCAAGTTTGCGTGCCACATTGGGCTGCGCGGCAAGTTCTTTTGTCATGCCTGCTGGGCAAAAGGTCATTCCTCCGAACCCGAATCCGACACAATACCTTCTTCCACACAAGTGATCGCTGAAAATCTGAATGTGGGAAATGACCAAGCCGAACGCAGGGATGACACGAATGGCATCGATGAAGGTGCTCAGAGCGAGGACAGCGCAGCCAGCATCGAATCTACATCAGGTGTTAAAAAGGGCAGGGCTAAACATGCTGTGGAAACAATGGCTCAAATGGTTGCCCGAGTCAAAGCGTTCATGACGGTAAGCCAATCATTTATCTTATCTCACACGTGACAATCGTGGCTGTGAGATAAGATTGTGCAATTCCGCGCCGGCTCGTTTCACGTCTCGTTCTGACAATTTATACAGATAGGACGGCTACGAAATAAAGAGGAAACGATGAAACATCTTCGATCTGAGTTTCTTCTTGCCTCAACCACTGTTGATAAGAAAACGCAAATCAAAGATCAGCGAACAGAGACCGGAATCAAAGACACCTTCCAGCTATTTTTCGAGGAGAAATTATTCGATTCCTTCAAGAACAAACGCGGATACCCTGCCCGCTTGCAGGCCCTTGATGCTCAAGCAAAATCTATGCCTGCAAATGTCATGAGCCCCGTATGGCGAATTCGAGGCTTGGATCCACATCAAGATACACCTGTGGAGATTTTGCATGTCGTTCTCCTTGGCTTTGTCAAGTATTTATGGCGCGATCTGATTCAGCTTCAGCTCAAGAACAAGGATGACAAAAAAAAAAATCTGATCACACGGTTGAATTCCTTCGATACGAACGGTCTCGGAATCTCACCTCTGGCGGGACAAACACTGGTGCAATATGCAGGGTCTCTTACGGGTCGTGACTTCCGTGCGATCGCCCAGGTCGCGCCGTTTGTCGTGTTTGACCTTGTAGCACCAGAATGTTTCGAAATTTGGAAGGTGTTATCAAAGCTGGTACCTCTGATATGGCAGCCAGAAATTGTGGATATCGACGTCTACATGGTGGGTGCACTACATATTCCAGAATTTTGCGATGTCAAATACATTTATTTCACAGGAATTACTCACTCGAGAAATCAATCACTTCCTGGCATGCGCGGCTCAATGAACAAATCGTTGGTTCAACAAGCCAAAATTTCATATCCTCCTACATCTGCCAGAGCATATTCGACGATTTGGCCCTGCGATTCTATTTGCGACCGAGGCGCTTGAGTCCTTCAATGCCATCATCCGCGCTAAGAGTGTTCACTCAAATTGGCACGCCCCATCCCGTGATATTGCTCATGCATTTGCACAAGGGAATTGGGTCCGGCATCTTCTTAGCGGAGGCCTTATGCAAGAAAGGGAGGGTCCCTTCTCTAAAACCCGGTCAGACTGGATCAATGCAGGCCCAGGACCACTGGGCATTGTCAAGGGTACAGTAGGAACATACCTTGGATTACAACCAGAGAAGGCCCGGCATGCCATTGGAGGTGACTTCAGTCTCATCATACCATCCCATTACGCAAATTGATCACCTCTACCGAAGCTGTGAGCGAACCCGTCGCGAATGGGGTGTGGAAAACCGGGGCAGAAACACTTACTGGAAAGTATATCTCCTCCTGGTCCCATAGAACGCACAGATTCCGAGCTCTGAGGAAACTCGAATTGCGGAACAGGGATGCATGCCATATTGGGTCCTATGTCCTCCTCCGCGATGATGGACGGACAAAGATCTGCCGTTTGGAGGAGCTCTTGCAACAGAGTGGCTCTGGCAGCCTACATGCCGAGCTTCTGGATGCGATTTTGATGCGGGAAGTATCCACAGATGCATCGCGAGAACGGTATGGAATGCCGCGATTGATTCCGTTAGAGAAACAGATGCTTGTATCCCTCCAGGTACGTCTGAAATCCTAGAGTTGGATAACTCCCCTCACTGGTACACAAACAGAACATCCTATGTTCTGTCAATGTACAGCATATCTGCATTGACAACAACTGTGATGTATCAGCTTCAGTTCCGGTGTTTCAAGAGCGAGTCAAGACTTCACATACTCAGGCTCGCATCCACCACCGGGGCAATCATGACGATCTTGTCTCGAACACTGCCCAGATGCGTGATGCATGCCATTTACAGCAGTTTCGTCTCAACGCTCCCGAAAGCAATCTGGACATGGTGGTCCACGAAAGTGCATCCAAAGAGATTGCTCCACGCAAAGCCGCGCAGGCACAGGCAAGAGTCCCAGTTCCCCCCAGACTCCCCTCACCTCGTAGTACCAGTAACAGCGTCGCAGGACCCTCACAAGCAGTCCCTCCCTCTCCCGGTCGATTGACAATCTGTGTGCGGCCGCTTTCCTCTCTCAGTGAAGTCACTCGGGGTGTTAGTTGATGGAGTTTCGAATTCACAAATTACATATGTTCTTGATTTGTTGTAGCTGCGCTGATAGTCTCCTATTCTCCGCTCGAGCATCCAGATACTTCTGCCTTAGCTCAAGACATGTTGTGTGCAGCTTCTCAACTGAGGACCAAATCCGATGAGCATTCATGGGGAACTCCCGCACGCGTGTGATGAACGTAACTTCAAACAGTTCCAACTCCATAAATACGGCGCGTGAGATTGCAGAGACTGCTGCATGACAATCAAGGTGTGAACCGTGAAATGAGATGATACACGCACCTGATTCCTCAACCACTTCCTCTTTCACCTCCACTTTGATGTTGGGCTCTTCCACTTCCGCTTTTGTATCTGCCAAGGTCGATGTGCCAGAGACAGACGGGGCGAGGACAAATGAGCCAGAGTCGGATTCATCAGCAGAGAAGGGCTACGTTCCTATAGCAAGGATCAGCAGACACACAAGGATATAAGCAGGGGACGACCGGCCCAGCTTGTCGGTATCTGACCCGAAGAATTGAGAGTCAGTAATCTGGCTGTTCAGTGCTCCAGCACCCGAGCTAGGATCTGGCTGGTCGCAAAAGAGGCTGAGTAGATTTATTGATCAAGAACGTATAGAGAGACGGTCAACCGACAGCGCATTAGCACGGAAGGCTTGCTGAGTGGCACAACGGCGCTGCGTTGAAGGGAGAATCATTGGCGATGGGAAACCGAAGAAGAGTCGTTGTTTGCGTGTGTGTGGCTCATCCTTTGGCATGATGGCGGGACAATTCTTCTCCTGCGCTCATGGCGCTCACTTTTATACCTTTTACGCGAGTCACAACACGTTTCACGACGCGTCAGTGTGTTTGTGACTCAACAAACACGCCATGAAATTACAAACGCGCCCACTGAATCAACAAAACGCGTGCACGCTGCACGTGCCCAGCCAGCATAAAAGGCGGGGCCTCTCGCTTTCTGTCATCACCATCCCATGGACAGCTTCCCCCCTGTCGATTCCGCAAATCTGCCCCCCATGAACTTACAGTCTGGGCACTAGGCTTCTCCGCAGACGCCTCTCTCGTCCAATCTGGTGTCTACTCCGCCTGGATCACTGTCGTCGTATCACTTTGCTTCCCAAATGCCCACTACACCCACCCCAGCAAGCCCGTCAACATTGCACCATACGACTGGCACCAATAACGACATAATTGGCACCGTGATGCTCGACAAGCTCACCAAGGAGTTCAATCTCGGTCCTCCAGAGATCGAGCATCTTCGTTTGTTTGTGCGCGTGCGTATACGACGTACTCTGCATGATGCACAAGTCTAATCTCCGCAATAGCTGGGCTCGTTGCAGGGCGGACTAGCGACTGCTGATCTCGCTACGCGCCTTTGTATGTTTGCCGGTCAGCAAGGGGATGTGGCCGAACGCAGACGCATTCACGAGGCAGAGGTGAGGGAGGGGAGAGATCACCGCAGTATTTTGCGTGATCTTGAGCAGTGCCTGAATGAAACATTCATTCTAACTGCTCCTCAAAGGGTACGTGTGTGTGGTATCTTTCTTCTTGCCTGACATGCGCTCTCAGAATAACATACGTTCGGTCATTCTCAACCTCGTGTTGGATCCCAAGCGGACTTCGTACTCAAACCTTTACAACGAAGCATTGGTACGCCCCTTCCCTGTATTCCCGGACGTTTCTTGAGCATCGTCTGCAGGCTGAGCTGAAAGCAAAGAAGGACAAGCTGGAACTGGACAACGTGTTCAACATTCCGGCTCGACTCAAGAAAGCCTCATCCTCTATTAAGAATCAGTGTTCCAGCGTGAGAAATGGGTTGCGCGTGGATGTGAGTTTCCAAACCGAACATAATTGTCTTCATGAACCTGATACCGATGTCGTAGCTGATCGACGGCGTTCACCCAAACACATTCTGCGAACTGGGGACTTTTGTTGCTGACTTACTCCTCAAATACAAAGGTCTCGTCATCAAGGATCAAGCTGTTTTGGACCCGTTCAACGTGCATCTTGCGCTGTTAGTGAGTTCTTTCATTTTGTGCGTTCCTTGCTTACTGAACCCTCTGATCAGTGTCGCTTTGTATTCGATAACCCTCAGCTGATCACTACAGCTAAGGAAAACGAGGACGACGACAATCAAGGCGGGTATGAGGAAAGCGAGGAATCACGTCCGCGCAAGAGGAAGGCCAAGAGTGGCCGCACTGCCAAGGGACAGTGCTTTTGGGACCGGGTCGAGGAATATTTGGCGAAGCAGATCGCAATCCGCGGCAAGAACTTTGCGTCACCCGAATGGAAAAGGTGAAGTTGCCGCCTTCGTGGGTTTGACCAAAGACTTACATGTGATCAGATATATCAACCAGATTGTGAAGGATGATCAAGCTAAGTTCAGAGGCCTGAAACCCGGCTCACCTGTTCTCGATAACTGTGCATCAAGCGAGGAATGTGGATCTGAGGGTGCAACAGCGCCGGCTCCAAGTGGGCTGCAAGCAGATTCTGAGTTTTGGGCGCAGATGGGATCGGGATCTCCTCTGACAGGCGGTCAACTGCTTTCATAGATTGGTTCTGCGTAGTATATAATACTGTGTGCTTGAATCTGTGAAGAGAATGCAGAATACGTCTATAGTCCTTTTAGCGCGTACAGTGTGTGACATGATGTGATTGCGTGACAAATATCTTTCTGTCCTTCTCTCTTGTCAAGAAAGTGGAGCGCTTGAGCTGCCGTCTCTCCCTTCAACTTCTCCGATGTGCCTTGTTCAAGACATACCCCCCGCAATCTCCCTGCGTCAAGCTTGTCTAAACCCAATTACCTCCCGGTGTCAAGGCTGATGCAAGTGGCAAAGTCGCTCTCCTGATCAAAGTTCGCAAGAAAGCAAGTGCGGAAGACCCTCAATTGTCAATTAACCGATATCAAACGTGTCCAAGACTCAAGTCACATGCGGCAAGTGATTCCCGTCAAGCAATACTTGAACGCAAGCACTCGGCAAGTTTCGTGGAACTTGAGAGCATCAAACGGCGTCTTCGTTCATTCGAGGGGTTCGGGGTGGGGTCACTTGGAGCAGCTTGGGCTCGTAAGTCCGGTGCGTGTGTTTCCTGGCTTGTGGCAACATTTGGTGACTGACTTTGTGCCCAGTGCCCACACACTTGGGACGTCGAGGGCATACTTGGATACGGAGAGTCCGATGCAGCAATCTTGCTCTCGCACTGCCATCGCACAAAGCGCCGAGACAAGCTTACCGAGGCCGCTAAGACCTCAACTGGGACCGTTGCCAACTCGACTCAGCATCGTCGCCTCTGTATTACTTACCACTTCTGTCAATGATCATCACATTCTTTTGTTCTCATCTCTCTCTGTCTCTTCCGAGTCATGTGTAGTAGTACGAATGGATATAGTGAGATTGTCTGAAGTAGCCATAAGAGTGAGCCTGAAGCTGCCCGAAATTGCCCGATGCCCGGCGAAATTAATCACGTGCAGTAGACTAACCTAAAGCCATGTGCGGCAGAATGAGCGCGACGCATTATGGAATTGAATGCGGTTCATTCGTGCCAGAAAATGATTTGCGCTTAGATCTTACGTTTTTGAGTCACAGTTGCTTATAAAATGAGTGAGGCACACACGGCCTTGAAATGCGTGACAATCATCCGCCTGACCTCCCTGTGTACCGCATGGTGCACTGGTCATGGGTTGTAGTAGAACCTTCTGAAGCGTATGTTGCGCAGCCTCGAATCAATAAAGATAACCCCTGGAACCCCTAGCCCAGACCGTCTGATGCCATGATCTGTGATAAGATAAGTCGTGCCAAGATAAGATAAGATCGTCAATGATAAGATGAAAAAGTGGCTGAATTATGACACCTTCGGAGGAAGCCAGAGCTGTTGCGTCTATCACAAATGTGATCCTTCATTGCATGGACATTGACACATTCTCTGATGACAAGGAGAATGAGCGCTCCGACAGTGACTCGAAAGCTGACCTTTCCATGAGGGAAACAACTCCTGGGACTCTATGTACGACGTTTGCCGTGGCCTGGTTTGTCTAGCTTGACCCAAATACACACACCTGTAAATCCCACCTGGGCCCAGTAATTAGTGAGAAGATCTGGGTTGGTTCCCCCCATGAGTTAGTGGGCTTTCAAGCCAATTTTCATATGCTTGAATAATAATGACATTTCTGCTCAGAATCTGGAGCAGATGAGACCAGATCCAGTGATTTTTACCAAGTCCCTAGAGCTGCTTGAGATCTGTTTGAATATGTGGCATGGGGTATGTTGCAATCCATGTGCCCAGATTTTGAAGACATCTGTCTGCTTAAAATCTGCTTGAAGATTCTCCACGCCCTATGAGCTGCTCAGATTATGTTCAAATACAAGTCAAGGGATTGTTTATACTCAGATTCTGCTTGAATCTTGGTGCAAGGGGACTTGGATGGGTTCATGACAGCGGTCTGCTTGGGATCTGTTTGAATAACTGTGCAAGAGGCCTTGGTCAGTCTTGCAATAGTGGTCTGCTCAAGATATGTAACATATGTTTGAATAATCACGACAAAGGACTTGGTCAATTTTGTGTAAAGGATATGCTCAAATTATGTTTGAATATATTCAGATTAGGCACTCGCTTCCTAAACAAGTTTGCTGCCTTGCTCATCAGAGTCAATTGGTTGCGTGATCAATGTCTGCTTTTTTGATTGTGGATCAATTTTTGATGATGCCAATGATGCGGGTTTTAATCTCATCTTATCTTTCAGAACTAGATTGACACTATCTGCTTACTCAATGGTGGACCCTGACAATCAAATCTTAGAGAAATCTAATCTTGATGCGGCTGTGTGTGATTGGATCATGGATGTAGCATAGCTTCCATTTTGGGTTCCATGTTCAACTTACATAATCTAAACTGAACATGTTGTGCATGTGATTTCCTTTTGGGGATATTTCGATGAAACTTAGAGCAACCCAAAAAGTAAATTCACCTCAGTTTTGGAATAGCACATGCTCATGTTGTGGGTTTCTTCTCAGCTCTTGAGGATATATTCTCTTGTGTGGTTCCTTGCACTTGTGCCCTTCAAAGTTTCTACACTGTTGTTCAATGCCTCTATATCCTAATTCTTTCAATGATACCCTTCATGACTTTCATTAACAGTACATACTTCTCTAGGCACATTCATATTTCTTTCTAACACTTTATGCCTCTCAAGTAATGTGCTGCTGTCTTGATGCACACAGTAGAGCCAGCCATTGCATATATATAGGCATAGTAATCATTACCTACCCATTCTGCTTTACCACATAACCAGCTATTTCTACACTCCTAATTCACATGAGTCATGCTTTCATTGATATGAAGAAGAGTAATTGAGATTGATATAAACAGAGAGACATGTCATAATTTGACCTTTTTCATCTTATCATTGATGATCTTATCTTATCTTGGCACAGATTATCTTATCACAGATCATGGCATCCAACAGTCCGGGCTAGGGGTCTGGGGAATAATCTTTATTGATCCAAGGCTGCGCAACATATGCTCCGGAAGGTTCTACTACAACCCATGACCCACCTTAGTCACCCCCCAAATCCTACCAGTTAGGTAGGTTTTTCCGGCGCCCAAAACCTACCTGAGTGGTAGCGGGCAAATGGGCGGCAGGCGTTCATTTCACAAATTGCGATCCTTGGGCGGCCTATTGTTCACGGTTCCAGGCGCCTGTGGGCAGCAGCCTGGGCAGACCCAACCCCGCCCAGGGTCCTAGATTTTTGGCCATTTTACGTCCCATTTAGGAAGTTAAAGTCGATTTCTATTGCCTTTGTTGCACACAAAATACATTTGTTTTATTTCCTACTTATCACCTGTGTGTACACGATGTCAATGAAATATCCATGTAGCTTCTTTACGTTCAATCAATCATTGATGCTGAAAATCTCTGCATCAGGGGGTGGCGGCCTGCGTCGCGATTCTCACTGCATCCGCGCCCACTTGTCCACATCTATGACTTTGCCCAGATGTTCTGCTTTACCAAGCTTTTCCCTCTCGATTCTTCTGTGCTCTTGATCCAATAATTTTGTCATTGAGACTACGCTGATAGGCTGGCTACCAGATGCGCTCTGCACCAGCTCTGTAAGGGCGTATTTTTGCGCTTTTTACAGAGTTTACTCTCAAACCACTCGGTGTATCGTGTCGCAGTTGACAGTGTTGCGCTCAGTAGGACTTAAGGGTCTACTGCCCAGTCGACGACTGTGGATAGTGTCGACGATAGCAAGGCAGTCAGACCACTACTGTGGAATTGGTCTTATGAGTCCACACCAGGCTCAGGGCTATTAGTGACGAACGCTTGCACCGCAACAATTCCCCAAAAGGGATCTTTTGTTGCGGCGACTTCACAAAAGGGGTCATTCTCTGCAGGTGGGAACTTGGGCTGAAGGGCTGAGCAATGCGCGACGTTCTCAATAATAGAACTACTACTGGACAGGACTTGGCGTTACAAGACTTAAACCGATCTTGTCGCGGCAACTCCCAGTTTTGGGTTAGATGTTTCCTCAGATCATGCCACGGCGACGACTTGTCACATGTGAGGATGCACTCGATCACGGGACATTGTGGATGTGTTGCGGTGACACTTCCAAGTGTCACGGCAAGTCACGTCCATGCCCAAACACACTAAAATCGACACGGGCTAGATCCGTGAACCAAACCATGTGAGAAACGTCTGGTGTGCCTGGGGCCATACGGCTTCTTGGGGCACCCACGTTGGACTCACCTGCCAAGACATACCTGTTGGCCAATCCAGCACGTCGTATTCCAAAAGTATGATGCGGTGGGTTGACCCACATCAAAAGTATCATATGGGCTATGGGGCGGGGTCCTGATCACTCAGGACCTGTCCGATTGTCCAACTTTTCATGACTCAAAAAGGCAACCGATCTTAGATAGCGTAGCTACTATGCAGTTGTACAGGACTTTACTAAGTGTTGTTGTAGGCAGTAGAAGTAGCACATTGTTTCTTTGTATTAGAAAGCTTTCCCCCGGACTGTGAATCACTCTCATATCAGATTGTCTTGTACAATTTGCGTGCTGCGTGATTCCACCCTAAGAAGTTCTGCCACCCTTGCCCGGTCGCAACGAGTTGCTCCCCAGAGCACTTGTAGCTACTGTGATTTGAGTTTTGAGTTGAGATATCAGAAAGTCGGACTCGCCGCTTCTGGTTTAGTTGCGGCATTTAGTGTCGTCGCCTTTGGGCATTGTTGAGATCGTTTCCACACCTCTAGTTTGTGTAAGGGTAACCTTGAGACCCGATCTCAGAGTTCTGGCAAGGGAGAATCCAAAGTGTCAATAGTGGTAGCTAGGTACAAGACCGGCATACCTGGCAAGGGAGAATCCAAAGAGAAACCGTGTTGGGGATTCTCCTTGCCAGGCGCCACTATTTATATGATACAAGAACAATAGAGCGCGCAGCGACAAACAAAGAACAATGGGAACAATAAGTACAATGGCCATTGGAGAACAATAGGAAACCGAGACAGTGGGAACGATGGGACAGCTGACCATGTGCCCATCAGAGAGAAGC